TATACATTAACACAGGCTCTAATTTGGGACCGGAGAAGAAGTCTCTTATATCCGGGTTTCTCTTATATCCGGGTTTGGTCTATTTTATATATCCGGGTTTCTTAACACATTTTATATACATTAACACAGGCTCTAATTTGGGACCGGAGAAGAAGTCTCTTATATCCGGGGGTTTGGTCTTTTTATATACATTAACATCTCTAATTTGGGACCGGAGAAGGTTTGGGGTTTGGTCTATTTTATATACATTAACACAGGCTCTAATTTGGGACCAGAGAAAATCTCTCTTATATCCGGGTTTCTCTCCGGGTTTGGTCTATTTTATCCACAGGCTCTTTGGAATCTCTAATTTGGACCAGAGAAAATATTTTATCCGGGTTTATCATTTTAATACACACAGGCTCTAATTTGGGACCGGAGAAGAAGTCTCTTATATCCGGGTTTCTCTTATATCCGGGTTACACTGTATAACCTTAAAAAAGTATAACTATACACAGTAGTCACGAACACTACTTTTGTAAAAAATTTTTAAGCTATAACAACTATAAGGCTTTTACTGCATGAATTACGAGTAAAGAAAACAAATATATAGTTTCCAATATACAAACATGTGTGACCGCACTAAAATGAGGCCATTCCTGACTGTGAGCAAAAACAGACACACCTTCGTCCCATTATCCCTAATTTATTGCGAATCATATTTTAAAGAGAATTGCTGGTAAACTTGATTTTTTTCTTCAAATACATTAAGTTCCTATTTCTTTTTTTTTATTCATCTGAAATATACGCCCAGTTCTTGAAATTTGTCCTATTTTGGTTTGCTTTGTGGTTGCAGGCATTCGATTAAGTCGCATTGTACACCTTTTAACAACGTCGAATTGGGATATATGTTGCGTCTAATTATAGTTCCAAATAATATTTAAATTAAAACCATTTGTTTTATAACTGGCATTGCTATTGGAAACCAGGACGTCTCTACTGGCCAGTATTTAAACGAAAATGCGACAAATTTCTCTTCCGAACATTTCCAGACTTGCGACTAAATCACGTTCAAACACCGTACGATCAACATAGTTAAGCAACGTCGAACCTGTTCAGTACCTAGATGAGTGACCGTTTGGGAATACCAGGTTCTGTAAGCTTCGATGTGTTGATAGTGTAATGTTGTTGCTAATCTCCAGCCATGTAGTAAGTAAAATCTCGACGTTTGTGTTTTTCATCACAGATTATTTGTTTCAAATTCTTTGTAATCTTTTACATTTATTACACACACACACACACACTCATCTTTGGTAGGACGATAAACCATATCCGGCAGAAAGGCCTCTGATCGGGAGGTTTTGAGGTGCGTGGTACCACTTCTTAATTGCTGTTGTTCCCAGGTCCACCCTGATCTGTGGTGGTAGCAGCTGTTAGGGTCCTAGCTATGGACAAATACTTAACCCCTTAACCGGGGTCAAAACACTATGAAAGTATAAAAATACATTTTTACAGTAAAAATACCTGTAATACATCTTCATAGCAAAAACAATTACCAGCGTACATTTTTGTAAAGTAAAAATATATATTAACAGCAATACGTTTTTGTAAAAGAAATTACTGATGATCCCAAGAAAATTAAATTTCAGCATTAAATAAGGAGTTGATATGCCGCTAAGCAAACAAAACACACACCAGTTAAACATTTCATGTAATAAGATGTTATCCAACAAATAAGACAAAAAAATTATTCATGTGAATTAATAACTTTGTTTTGTATATTCAACTATGTTTCGCAAAAGAATTCCTTCTTTTTGCTAAGGAAATTAATAGAAAAGTGTTCACTATTTCAATATATATATTTTTTCAAATGCTACATATACTCATGTATAAGTCGATTTCATGTATAGTGTGATCCCTGAAGTTTTTTTGCATGAATTTTAATTCCTCCAGAAAGAATTTACCTGTGTATAGTGCAACCGGTCACCGAAAATGCATGATTTTTAACATATTCAAAAAAAATACCTATGTATATTGCGACCCCCTATATTTTGCGTAACAAAAAAGAATGTGAATAAAAACTCGCACTATATGCGAGTATATACAGCAATCCGTACATTTTCTTTATGTACCGTATCCCCAGGACGTAGGCGATCATGGCTTTCCACAACTTCTTGTTTCCTTATAGCTCTTAATAAACTTTATCTTTGTTATTTCTTCTAAGCCCTTTTCTGCCATCCATTTACTCACATTAATTAATCCTTCTTGTCAGGAAGGGGACACTTCGATGTGGTGTACTGGTTAGCAAGCTTGTCTCACTAGATAAATTACGACTGATTAATGAGTACGATCCTCACTTGGTGTTCCATATTTTCGGACTTGTGCTACATCTAAGCTACTCTTAGTAAATCGCAATATTTATCACTAACCTGTGGTTACTTAATATCATCCATTTTTTAGTTAGTTGATATTCATCATTTAAGCGTTTCATTTAATATTAGTCAGAGAGAATAGGGCGGCATTTAAGCCAGCTCCTACGGAGAGCTCTTGGTTGAGCCTTCATCACAATAGGTAAGGAGGAGTAGATGCGATAAGTAACAATAAACTACAGAAGAACTCAAAATTGATCGCTTCATTTAAGTATTGCATTAATATTTAAGCCCACCTTTTAAAAGTTCAACGATAATTCTTCTGCCGCCACTTAATTTAAAGACAATTTTATGTACGTAGGTCCTTACTTTTCATACAAACAATTTTTTTATTTCATGTGTGACTTTCGCTGGATTACGCAATTAATTTCGATGATTCTCAAATTTATTTTCAAGTTTAAAAATTGTTGTCATACAAAAAAAATCGTTGCAAAAAAAAAAAAAAAAAAAACACGTAAAAAAATCGCCGAAAAATATCTCAGTAATGAAAACTTGGGAATCCATAATTTCAGGATTGCGGGTCCGGATCCGGCCCCTGGAATGTTTTTATTTTGCTCACGAAGTCGGCCTGATTCCAAAATTGTATGATTTGTTGGGATACGGCCTCTAGAAGTCAAGTTGAAAAAGTGTGACACAGTGACACACTGATAATTGCATTTATTATATAAATGTATTTCTTATTGATGCTAGTCGTCGGTATACGATCCCGAAAGTCAGAATTTGGAATGATGATTTTTAAACGCGACAAGTTTTTCACCACTTGGAAGAGTAATTCAACAAATATTCCTGCTCATCTCCCCTACTAAGTAAATATTATAAACCTCTCACTACTTAATGCCTATGCGTGCACCTTTTTCAAAGAGCACATACAAAAATGTGTATTTGCGCTTTTAGTAAAAATTGGACTTGACTTTTTGTTTGCTTTTTTTTTTTAAAATCTTAAATGGACGATTATAAATTTCATAGCCTATACAAATTATTTCGTAAGAGCTGAAAAAATAAAGAACATAAAATAAAAAGATACAGAACTGCTCTGACAAGACGGAACTGAAATTTAAAAAATACCTAAAAAGAAAGATTGATTCACATTTTTCGTCTATATATAGTCCTGTGCCTGTACATGCTCGTACATAAATTAGCTATTTCTTTCTCTTCTCTTTCAGACACACACACAAATGCCTTCAGCCAAACATTATGTACTGGGTACGCGCGCACGCACACACTTTTATCTATCTATCTATCTATATATATATATATATATATATATATATATATATATATATATATATATATATATCTCTCCTCTATTATAGGCTAATTCTTACTCCCTTTCCTTTTATTTTTTTCTTCCTTCCTTTGCCTTTCAAATTTCCTGTGAAAAAAAGCTTTATTCATTTTAGTAAGTTTTTGCATTGATAAGTTCAGGGAATAACTACTTTCCCATGGACGAAATGATCATCTGTATGAGGTAATTCGTTTCGATGTTTGTAATTCACACACGCACACACACACAAGAGAGAGAAAGCTATCTGTTTTATATTAATAATACTTATAAGCAATTTTTCCAAAACTCTAAGTATAATAGTTGTCCGTTTTTTTTTAAATTGCACCTTTAAACCTCAAAAGACGGGTTTTATTTCATTAAATACAAGCAAATATATTCGTACACTCCATTTAAACTATCTTAACACAAGTTAGTGCAACTAAAACAAGGGGAAAGCATTTGCACTTAATATTAATAATAATAATAAATCCTGAACATGAATGTGGATCGTCAGAAACGTCGACAATGAATGCGTCATATTTTCCAAACAAACCGGACAAGCACATTCTTATTAATTCTTGATGGAACGTGTTTAACGAAGAAGGCCAACATTATTATTATTATTTTACAACAATTCCTTTTGACCTGCATTTGTTTTATAATCACATAACGGGTCAATGACCAATGACCTAGGGCAAACGAAGAATTAGTATTATTATTGTTGTTGTTGTTGTAATAATTGTTATTTTCTTGCTTTGTATAGTAAAAGTTGCTCTCAAGTCTCATCCAGAGACATTAATGTATAATTTTTGTTTTGTTTTTTGTTTATTTTGGGGTTTTTTGTTTTGTTTTTTTGTTTTTGTTTTTTTGTATCAGGTTCCATGCAATCAGTGAGAAAATATGTAATTGTGATCACTGCATGGAGAGAAATCTACGCATGATATAAGAAGTACCCATGAGTATGACTGTTAGTAATTAACATATATATATATATATAGATCAAATTCCTGGTAGACCGAAAATATATGAATTGCAATTATTATTTATATTTACCCTGCGCCTTCGTCCTCAGCTAACTACTTTTGAGTTTTTATTACACGAATTCAAATTAAAAGAAAAATAAAGATTGTGGTTTTGCGTTTAAAACTTTCTCTTTGCGTTAAACGTCGAAAAGCCTGCAGTTAACTTTTCCTAAAACTGATTAGTCTCCTGTTGTAGCAGAGGAAAAGTAAAAAAACTAAATAAATAAAAATAAAAAATAAATAAAATAAAAAACTAAATACATGAAAATAATAAATAAATAAAAATAAATAAATGAAAATACTTACCACTTAGGCCACCTCCTACAACGATAACAGCAACTGGTTCTTTAGAAGCCATACTGAAAATATCGGTATAAATTAGAAAATCTGTAGTTTTTAATCTTAATTATCAGAAATTCAAATCTATACAGGTGAAACAATCTGTTTTCCTTTTCCACTTTTATTTTCTTTTTCTTGTGACGTAAAGTCAAATGAAAAGTAACAGAATGATAACGCCTGGTATATTTCTTTAATTGAATAGTTTTTCTTCTTTTTTTTCTTTTTTCTTTTTCTTTTTCTTTAAGAAAGGAAACACGGGTTTCTCACACCCTTGTTTCTTTGGGTAATAATTTCTACGGTGCGTGTCAGCAGTAGTTGAGCGGGCGGCTATAGAGAAATGTGTACCGCGATCCTGCTTGAAATGCTGTCAGTTGTGAGTAGTAGAATGCAGGGAGAGACCACACGGCCAGTCACGTGAGGGGAAAGGAAAACAGTTTACTAGCCGGTTTGTTGATAATATCACATTTGCCTGGTTAGCTGACTAACCGCCTGATCGGTAATCTACTGTTTGTCTATGGAAGAGATAAACAAGACAAAAAAGGTAGTAAGTTTGCCTTCGTTGCAGCTTAGCGGATAAATTTGCAGTGCAAGTCATTTATATGGCTCCTAAAGGAACAACTACTCCAATTTCACAAAAAAAAAACTCGAAAGTCAAACCAGAGAGCTCTGTATAAAGCGAAATAGAAATATTTGTTTTAATCATTTCACCCAAAGCAAGGCAGTAAAGACACAAGGGTTTACTGGGTGTGAAAGAATGACAAAAAAGAAACATTATTACGGCGAAAAAAACAAACAATAAAAGAGTATTCAAGACGAGTATAGATAACGATTGACATTGCATTTATTTTTGAAGATCAAAAGCATGGAGCCGGAAGAGAGTTCCACGGGTGAGAAGTGCGAGAAAAGATACTGTTAGCATAGAACTTACGGTTACATCTAGCCAATTAAACTGTGACTTTATGAGACATTGCCGTCAATCTCGCATTGCGTTTAAATTCATAAAGTCTTGGTACGATATCGAAGACTTCAACCGAGCAAATTACCATGAAAGTATTTATAAAAAAGTCACAGGGAAGCTACATTACGGCGGTGGGAAAGTGACTGAAGCCGAAACGCGGGATCAAAACCATTTTAACGAGAGAGATAAATGAATAGAAAATATAAAAAGAGATAATGCGACAGAGTAAAAAAAAAAAATAAACAGTAATTTTTCTACAGAAAAAATGGTCATTGGTTGTATCGGGTCGCAAAGGCCCAAAACAGGAAATGGCGAATAGATTTTATGTGCGACCGTACAAACTGAAAAAAAATTATTGTTCTCGTAAAGTTAATGTCATGGTCAATATGAAATAACATAACTCTATCATTCGTACATATTCATCTATTTTATATATCTGTTTCTTCTATGTGCCATTCCCTCCAGTATGTTGCCGATCATTGCTCTCCGCAACTTCCCCTCCTTTGTAGCTGTTAGTAAATTTTATTTTTTTGCTATTTCTCCTATTCTCTCTTCTGCTATCCATTTATACAAGATCGTTAGGTAGGTTAAACGCTGATTCCTTTCTCCTTCCTGCCTTCAATCTATCATGTGTGTGTCAAATTCTCCAAGCCTCTTTCCTCATTATTTTCTCTAGAAATGTCAACAGTCTCTTTCTGATGTTAAGTATGTGTCCTTTTTGTTTCCATTTTCTTTAAAACTTCATCCTTGTTCACATGTTTAGTCTATCGTATTCTTAGCATCCTTCTGTAAAACCATATCCAGTATTTACTGTCATTTAGGACTGATATTACATAACATTTTGGTACTCTTTTCTAACGAAATATCCCTATACTAACTAAAAACTCACTCTATGGAGATTTCTCCATATGCAAAATAAATATTAATTACACAATAAAAAGGACTCTTACCTAGTCTGAAATTGAAACATAAATTGTTTGTTTACAATAATTGATACGAAAAGATGGATGTAGAGGCTTACTAAAAATATTCGTTTAAGCGCCTAAAGAAATTTATCTAAGTTGAAAATATATATATGCCGTGTCCCTTCAGGACCTGGGCAGTCCTGGCTTTCCACTATTTTTAATGAGATTTTCCTCCTTGGTAGAAAGTGCAAATTGCGAAGTTCACAAGATGCTCAGCTGGCCCATTGAAGAAGATATCGAATTCTGTAGAGCCGTTCGGAACTTGATATGTCGATATATTAACAGGGGCGTTCGTTTATTGAATAGAGTTTCCATTTATAGAAGACATTCAGAAGTTGGTACAGCCTTATAAAATTATAATTGAAGACTGGGGTGTCCTCCTATATTTAAGGGTAACTTGGTAGGTTTGTCAAAGACAAACATGTTCAAAATTAACCGCTGTTAAGCCTTTCTATCTGTCCTGAAGTTCTTTGGGAGTCACGCGGCATCTCAGAAACCAACGTCATCTTTTCTCAATTGTCTACAAAGGTTAATTGTCCTGCTGATCTCATCTCTCCTACTTACCCACATATGAACAGTATCATGAGGAATAGTGTATAAACATGACAAAAAACTTCCCTTACATTATGCTAGCTATCTCTACTAATTACTTTTCAAAATCGTCTCTGGTTTCAAATCCCATACTTCTGTTTGGGAGAAAATAATCTTGAGGGAGAGTCCTCTTCTCAAGCCTTTTACTAGTACATTCCCTTTTTATTACTCTGTACTAAACATGGTTTCGCTATAATCAGGATCAGAATAAGGCTTATCAAAAAATGACTCAGCCAAATACCTCATTGGTTAGAAATGTTTTCGTTCTATATACAAGAAAAACATAGGGTGTTTTGCTCATAATTTTTTATAACTCATAGATTTTAAGCTAATTAGACGTAAATGGAGCTAATAGGGAATCATGGATTTGAACTATGTCATTGTTGGCTCATGCCTGATATAAGATCATCACATTCCTTGACTTTTGAGTCAATGATAGTGATGATTTTAAATCAAGTAAAATTTAAATATCTTTAGTTTAATATCTGTGGAGAGAAACCACATGTTTAGTATACCGCCTCGTCAATAACCACAGGCATATAACCGAACTATAAATATATTTATAAATCTATAAATATGGATTAACGTTTATAACTTCATGAATGTAATCACAAAACGATTTCTTTTCAGTGTCTTGAAAAAAAAATCATACGAAAACAAATAACAGGAAAAATAACTTTGGTTTCTGGCTTGGATATATTTTCAGCTAGATGTCTACTTTATACATTTAAACAAAAAGATAAAAATTGGTTTAACTAAGGAAATGGCTGGTCCAGTTCAGCATTATTTTTCTATCGTAAAACGATCTCTTCGCTAAAACTTTAAAAACTTTATAAATTTTCAAAATCTAATATGCTAAAAATATATTCTGGCATACCATTATTAAGCACATACAATTTGGTGGGTATATCGTTAATTTTTGCTATGACAGACAAACAAAACACAATTTTGATTAATTATAGTAATATATCTATAATGAACTGAAAAATGTATTTATATGACATGCAAACCTTTCATTAATGACTAGATGTTACAATTAACATACCACAACGTTTTATAGAATGAGAAAATGAAAGACTAAAGTATGAAAATAACTTCGAAAAATTTACTAAACATCTGAAAAAATTACTTAAATGATTTAACGCACACAATAATTCTAAAACAAGATTAAAAACATCCATTTATAGCATTTCATGCAAATGCAAATATAAAGAAAAACAGCATTTCTCATATATAATCAACAGGCAGAATGTGTTTTTTGAAAAAGTTTTGAGATTGTAATAATACTTTTCTTTTTTATTATTTCACTCCAAACAAGGCGTTAATACTACTAAGATGCATGAGATTGTAACATAATGAGAAGCAAGGACAATAAAAGAACAGGGTTCATGGAAGATAAAAGACGGTGAATGGCGTTGCAATTTTTGATGATTGTAGGCGACAGAGAAGAAAGAAACCGGAAGTGAGTTCCAGAGGTGAGAAGTGTGAAAAATGAAACTATTAGAATATAACTTACGGTTACATCTAGCTATTTTAAGAGTAAATCAATGAGACCTAATAGCCAATCTAGCCAATCTAGTTGTGCGCTTAAATTCACGCAGTCAGGGTACTAAGGGGAGAGCTCATTAGAACACCTGCCATGCAAATATTTATAGAAAATACATAGTGAAGCTTTGTCATGTCGTTGGAAAAGTGGAAAAGTGACTGAAGTCAAGATGTCAGGTTAGGACCGATAACATTACATACTCTTCTTTGGATTTTGTCCAGAATCTCCAGACCAGACCAATATTCAATGCACAGACGAATGGTAGATTTACAAATATTCTAACAAAAAAAAAACTTTCACGACACAGTGAACGAACATTCTTAGCAACAGCCCTAGCAATGGATTCAGTATAATCGCTTGATTTCATGTCAGTAGAAAAAATGAGACCAAGAAGGTGCAATGGGTTGCTCTCCTGAAGGTTAGCATCAGCCATACTGAGGGCGTAAAAATGGTTCTCTATGATGATTAAAGTATAGCAGTTTAATTTTGGAGGTGTTAAAATGTAAAAGCGATTGCCCCAGTTACCAATTGATTGGAGGTCGTTTTCGAGAGCGGCTGTCAGTTTTACTTTGTCGGATATCGAATTTACTATTAAGACGGGAATAAATAGTTGTGTCATCAATATAAATGTCTAGTTGAGAACTTATGACATCGTGAAGGTTGTTGATGAAGATAAGAAACAACGTATGTCCAAGGACTGAGTTCTGAGTGACCCTCCGACATTAATAACAAAAGACTAAAATTATGGATACTATCCATACTTTTAATTGGTTAGCAATATTTTATTGAAAAAAGAAATTGCGGTTACGTTTATTAATTCATCTCCAAACCTCCTCAGAAAAAAGCTCCTATTTCTGATAATAAACAGTAGCTCATAATGAAACCGACGTTTTTTGCAAACTATGCCAAATAAACAGACAATCAATATTTATCAAATGACTTTTAATTGTTCTTTTTCA